AACTAGCAGATGAGGCCAGTTATCTGGTTCAGCTGCCCGCAGGGCCCTTCCCGCTAGCGCTACTGAGGTGGAGAACCCAAGCCCTGTCTCCTCAGGCCCTGGGTGAAGCCGCGGAGTGTTCCTCTTGGGTAGTGATACTCAGAGGTTTTTGTAAATGAGTGAGTGAAACAGGAAATATTGTTGCAACTTTCATAGCACATAGAACAAGGTGTTGGCTATGTCATCTTTGCCTAATGATGGCATTTGTGCATATTGTCCTTGATCATGTGTGTTTAGTCTCAAAATACCTGCCCTCCCTCCTTGTGTAAGCAGAGGTGAGGTTTAGCTGTGGGTGAGGGCATCTAAATGAGTTGTATGACTTTCAGATGTTAGCTTTAAAAGCTGAAGGGTCAGGGCAGAAGTATGGTTTCCACCAAATGAACATTTTTAGAAACCTGCATGTCAGACCTTTATGAGTTTGGAAGAATGAATCTCCTTTCATTTTCTACTGGGAATGTGTTTTAGGACCGTTAGGTATTAAGGCATCTTCAGGTCTGTGTGGCATATGGCTCATTCGGACCACAGGCCCCAGGTCTACATCAAGAGGTCCTAGGCTAGATGTGCTCATTTATACCCATGAGTGGCATCCGTCGAAATGCCTGTCCTCCCAGAAGCATCCCCCCAGGCCTCTCTATTCCATGTGAGTGACCTGAATGCTGCCTTCTGCGTCTCCCATTCATCGGGGCTTCTTTCAGGACGGAGGGTTGGCTAGGTCTTGAGTTGTCTTTTTTTGCCTTATGCTATAGTAATCTTATGTCTCTGATAGTGACAGAGTCAGGGAAGCTCCTCCCATCTCTTGCTGTCCACAGCCACAGGCTTGGGCAGGGCCCTGGAGGAGTCCTGCGTGGTTCAGCCACTGTGGCTGTCTGGCCAGGCATCCTCTTCCTCCCCTCCTGATGCTGCCTACTTATTTGAAGAAGAGTTTTTCGAGCTCAGGTTGTAGCTGCTGGAGATCCTCTGGAGACTTTCCAGCCCAGTGGGCAAGGGGCTGCTTGGTATCACGTGTGGTGGTCAGGCCTCCTCACTAGTGCCTCCTCTCCTCTTCCCATGCCCAGGCTGGCATGTCAGAAGCCAGGTGGTGGCAGTCGGAGAGGGGCATGAAAGGGTGGGCCATGGAACAAAGCGCTTTGAGAGCTGCCTCTTCACCCTCCCTTTTTAATCAAGGGCTCATCCCAAATTGCTCTTCAATGCCAGCAAGCAAGGAAATGCCCACACAAGGTCTTGAGCATTTGTGCAGATTTACTGAAATCAACTCAGGAGCTCTGCGGCTTCCTCCTAGGCCAGTATTTCATGGAAAGCCAGTAATCCCGGGCTCCAAGGAGTAGGACAGCTAGTCATGTGACATAGCAGGGGAAGGGCTGAGGTTCAATCACATTTAGCAGACAGATCATATTTTCAAAAACTTTTGCTGTGGGTGTTTTCCTCTCTTTGGGGGGTCAACATCCTTTTAATCATACTCACCTACCCCTATCCCTACTTATTCCTCCAAAGCACTGGTATACAGCTTTTGTAAGCAAACGTATATTGAAATTGTTTTTAAAACTACAGGATGCTGAACTGTGGGGCCATAAGGAGAGTGTGTTTATGGATTGTATGTATGTGAATGAGAGAGTGAATTTGACTTTTATATGTAACTTTTAAAATCAGGAAAAAAAGACTTGCATAATACCCAGGGTGATAACACGCAAGCCCGTGTTGCGGCTCAGCTGATCAGTCAGTCTCCTTGGTGCTTTCCTCCTTCCGGACGCTGCCTTGTTTGACCTTCTCTGGAAAGGCCCTGACTGGTTTCTAATAAATGGCACATGGAGGATGGCCTAGCCAAAATGGAGGCTGTAAATTCCCTTGTGCTTTAAAACTGTTCATAACTGAAATTAAGAACAATCACCTTCCCCCAGCCTGAACTCCTCTCTCCATCCCCAGTTTGGTCTCCAGAATTCAGTAAGAGAGTAATTGAAAGCTCATGACACTTGCGATGGTTTCTGGAAACATATCTGCAGGTACCAAGAGAAGAGGATAAAGATTTGTCCCACCTATCAGTCATTCCTACCGTCCCCCACCCCCCATATCCAGAGCAGCCCACTACTGACTACTGACACTGAAATGCATTTAGCCAATTGGGACGGTTCCAGCATGTAACTTCCTCTTGATGCGTGATCCTGACAGGAGAAGGACTGAGCTTAATTTATGCTATCTAATAACCTCAGTGCAGCAATTTGGGAAGTTAGCCTTCCAAAATTTCCCCCAGACTTTCCCCCAGTGAATTACAATGCCATATATACTAATTGATATCAGCACCACTCCCAAAATTTAGCTGCTGTTCAGTGGCTCTCACCTTTCAAAAATGAAAGCCAAGTGTCAAGGTGTGTCTAACAGAGGTACACAGAACTTGGGTAGAGAAGGCATGTGTTTTTGGCTGGGTGGAGAATCCTTGGGTGGGTAGAGAGGATATTGGGGAGTGTCTGTGGTTGTCACGCTCTGTGTCCTTTTCCAGAGAGAGCCTAGGGCTCTCAATCCACTGGATTGGCTGTCCACCAGCTGGCAGAAGGCAAGCTGAGCAAAATTGTGGGGGGCATAATGAGGATAAGGCTGGAGCCGCTCTCCTCCATCCCAGTCTGCCTTTGACTAATGAGGTATTAGGTTGAGCCAAGGCTGAGTTAATTTCAGGGGTAATCCATTTCCTGCTACTTTTATTCAGCCAGTTCCATTCATCAGAAGGAGAGAAGAACCCCTGGGACCTTATCTTGCATCATCCCAATATCCTGGAGGAAGGGAAGGGAAGGGGCAGCAGGGGTCTTCCTGCCCTTATTATGGATGCTGAGGGTATGGAAATATGTCAGGACTTGGTGACAAAAATGTCTATGGACACTTCCTGCCACCATACTTCAGGTGCCCCACCCCAGGCCCCCATTTGGCAGCAGGTTCTCCCACACCAGGTGGACTTGGCTCCAAAAAGATGATTGTGTTTGTTAGATGGAGGATGCATACTGAGGCCATCCACGCTTCTGCTGTGAAATCCTTTAGGAGAAAGACAACTGGTATCCAATATCTTCGAGTAATGAACTTATCAGTAAATATAACACATGAGCTCATTAATCTTATCTTTGCTTTTTGACCAAGTGGGAGCTCGGCTTCTCAGGAGACAAAAATTTCATCTCTGTTCTTTTCCTTAAACCCAATCCCAATTTAGAGTCAAGCATATTGCCCTGCTCTCTCTGGGAAGCAGTTAATAATGTGTTTTCTCACACAATGGATGGTCCAGGCTCAGCCTGGTCACTGAGGTCCCTGAGCCATGTGCACGTGCCCATACACAGCATGAGCGCAAGGCATCACAGCAGGGCTGTGCGTGTCAGCTGAGGAGTATTCTCTGGGTGAACTTAATCTTAAAAGTTAAGTCTGTTGAAACTGCTGTCTATCCTGGCTACTTAGACCTTCCTTCAACTTCTGCTAGTCTAAAATGACTGCCTCCACACCTCATCTCTGAAATGAAAAGAGATTGAGGATGTGGGAGATGGATGAATGACAGTTTGCAAGGAGTGGCTGTCCATTCACCTTGGCCGCTGCGATCTAGGCTAAAAAGAAAGAAATCTCTGAGAAGAGAGGCCATTTGCTTGGAGAATGAGTAAAGAGAGCATTGCCCTGGCAGGGCTACTGTGAGATGCCTGTGCCAGGTGCACAAGGAAAGGAGGTTTAAGAAAGGATTCAGATTCACTTACAGGTTGGTCCTGTGGACCTGGTTTAGGTCCGTGGGGCCTGGAGGTGTGGCCAGATACAACTGATGTGATGAGTTGGTGGCAGGGAGCCAGCTAGCACTGGTAGGTTTCTCCCAGTCCAGATCTTCTTCCCCCTCTCCCTGAAAGAGGGGGCCAGATAGACCCAGAGGACTTCAGTGTCTGCCCCCCAGACACACATCCACACACCCATTAGCATTCCTAGAAATTGACCAGAAAGGGAGAGGGAATGGGCCACATCCTGATGCAGCTCTGTGTTCCCTTTGTCCTCTGAGCCTCTCTGCTGACTCCCCAAGGGCCTCCTCTCAGTGTTTCCTACCAGGGGGGCTTCATCTGTACCATCTCCCTGCTCTGTGGTCCTCTCCTCAGTCCTTTGTCCTACCAGCCTCACCAGTGTCTCCCTTGGACTTCTCTGCTCCAGAAAGAGAGGACCAGCTCTGCAGCCTCCTCCACTTCTGGGAGGGTAGAGCAAGTGGGAAGCCCTGAGTGTTGGGACCTCTGTGTCTTACCCACCAGGTGGAGTTAGAAGCATCAGGCTCCTTTGAGATGGTGACTAGAGCTCAACATTTCTGTTTTTCCTCTATTTATATGTAATACCTTTTCCAGCACTTGAAATAATCCAGTGTCCCTTGAGATTCCCTGCTCACTTGTAGGTTGGGGTTTGATCACTTCCACCCCACCCCCACCCCCAAACCCTAGCCGTACTGGAGGTAGAATGTAATTTAAGCCATAATCACTTCTGTTCCCTCTCTGCCCCCTAGAAATGGTAGGTGTCCTGTGGTGGATATTACAGTTTGCCGAAGCCAGGGAAAGTGCTGAACTGGCAGCTCTGTGCTCTCCCACCTGCATGGTGGCTGAGAGGGAAGGGGCTCAGGGCCCACTCATTTCCTCGGGAAGGGGTGTGTCTCACTGCAGCAGTCGCCTTTGGGGTTTCACCTTCAGGGTCCAGGCAGGAGCAGCACTGAATGCAGATGCAGCCGCCCTTGGCAGTGGTCATGCCCCTTGGAGACTGATTTGAGGAGGCGGTCTGGAGTGTGAAGAGCTGGCTCTCTTGTTAAAGGGTGAGGGGACATCGTAATAAACTCTCTTCAGCAGCAGGAGCCCCTGCTGTGGCCATTGTTCACTCACTGAGATGCCTTTCCCGTCTTCTGGACCAGAGCGACAGCTGGGCTCTTTGGGCATTTGGAGGCCACCTTAACAGTCTGTTTTCTCTGCTTCTCCCCGCTACTGCAGGTTACGTGTTCTGTATGTTACATCGCCTCCCCGAGCAGCATGACTGTACATTTGACCACATGGGCCGCGGCCGAGAGGAAGCCATCATGAAAATGGTGAAACTGGACCGGAAAGTGGGGCGCTCCTGCCAGCGCATCGGGGAGGGGTGCTCCTGAAGGCCAGGCACGGCCACCACATGACGCTGTTCTTAGTTCACTAATGTTAGCCTTATTTAGGACAAAGTCAGCCAGACACCTTGTACTGGGCACGCGTCAGACTACAGCCAGTCCGTTTCCTTTCTTTAGCCAGCCATCCTGGTACTGTAGTTTAGGGATTGATGGTGGTTGAAATTGATTTCTGGCTGGTTACTAAGGTGCCTGCTAGCCATTGTATAAAATTAAAACATGAAGAATATTTTTTTTGAGCATGGCTAGTGGATTTAAAACAACACATACCTGTCACTGCTGGAGTCAAACTTATAAAAGCCTTAAGTGGAAAGTGTTCCAGACGGAGACTCTGAGTTAATAGAGGAGTAGAAGCTGGTGTTAAAGTTCCCACGACGCACATGGCTTTGCCAGAAACTCTGGTTAATGTTCGGCCTTTCACCTCTTCACTTATCCTTAGTCCCAGTAGCCAGGATCCCTGATGGCCACGCGTGCCTGGGCCACAGGAGGCTGCTGAGATTGGCCACATGGCTGGGCTGGGTGGTGGCCTTGCTCTCCCACAGAGCTGGAAATGGGGGTGGGGGGCAGGTTCTCATGAAAATTTTTTATCTGACTTGCTATGAAAAAACTCTCTCATCACGCGAGAAGAGAAACGGTAACCTCACTTTGAAAATTAGCTCCACTCAAGACTAGTCCACGAAGGAGACCCACCTTTTCTACACAGGACCCATGGTTGTGAGAAGTCACCGGGGCACACCCCGACTCCACTGGCTCTGGTTTGCCATTTGCCAAGTGCAGGGATCTGGCAGTTGATCAAATAAGGCTAATTGCAGCACAGCAGCTGCGGTGGGGTCTACAAACTGGCCTCTGCAGCTAGATTTCTATATTGGGAGTTTTTTAAAAGACGTTTCATAGCTGACAGGAATCAGTAGAAGTCCTGGGGAGCACCTGGGGAAGCTGCTGCCTTTCCAGCAGGAGCCTGCTCAGCCCCTCTCCCTCTAGGGGCCAAAAGGATGGTGCCGTGGTCTCACCTCCCGTGTCTGTGCGCCCCCTAGTCCAAGGATAACCAGTCCACATCTACCACACAGCCAGTTTAGTAAGGGCAGGCAGCGTATGCCACAGGGACTGCGGGTTTGAGCTGTCTAGAACAGTGGTTCGTGGCCGTGGCCCAGCTCTGAGAGAAGCATTTTCTCTGGCGGGTGGGGGTGGGAGGGCATATTTCTCAGCCTGTGCCTCTTCTCTTGGGCAGAGAGGAGTTCAGTGGCTGCAGTAGCTCAGGCCAGGTGGGGAGGGGTGAGGATGGGCCTACTTGCCTGTGTTAGGAAGTAAATCATCACCAGTCGGGGGGGTGGAGTCAGTAAACAGGACTAAGATTCCCTTGAAAGCCTGAGCAGGGGTGAGTGGCCCCGAGCTCCTGTCTCATCCAGGTCAGTGAGAGTCGGAGGCTCCTGCAGGGGCAGTTTGAGTCTGCCCACACATGGGGTACTGGAATAGTTTAACCCAGCAACTTTCCCTTTCATACCACAGCAAACGTTCAGCTCTGTCTGCAAATTAACAGCTAAACACCTGCAACTACAAATATTTTTTGATCTGAAGTACTGAAATAGGAAATCATGCTCTTCCCAACCTCTTCCTCCCACCCCACCCAAACCAGAGTGGAATCCACTGCAAAATCTCCAGCCTTAATTCTTGCTTCAGGACCCAGACCGGTGTCTTGCTCTAGGGCAGCCCAGGGCAGAGGGGTCAGGTCTGCCCGCGTTTACCACTGTTGTCAAGCCACGACCCTCTGGCCAGTGCATGGCCATCCTCAGTGAGGCAGCCCCACCTAGGCCCCCTGCCAAGCTCTGATCTCGAAGAGGCCATCCACACGCCCTTCAGGCCCTCCTCAGGTCCCATCGGCTGCTGCTGTGGCAGCGATGGGGAGCCCGGCGGCACACAGGGCTCGCAGCCCATGTTCACTTCCTGATGGTAGAGCTGGGGTGGGGGGAAAGGGCTTGTTCCCCTGCAGTATCTGTTCTGTGAAGTTTGTTAAATGTAAGGAAAGCTTAAATTCTTGTATCTTTAAAAGAGAAAATCTTATTTAACCCTTTTGTGTTCTAGATTTACTTACACACATAGCCTAGAGCTCAGTTTTAGTTTTAACATTGTGAAAATATTAAAAGAATCTTGTAACTTTATTCTTTTTTCTCCTGCTGAAAAAAAATTAAACCAATCGTATGAAAGTTTGAATTTCTCTGTTTCGCCGGTTCTCCTGAGTGCCACCTGGATAACCGGAAAAATAGTAAAAAGTCTCCCTGGCCACAAGAGATGGGGGGATCTTGTGTGCGGAGAGTCTGCATTGTCTGAGGGTCATGTGTCCAGTAAGTGTCCAGCCAAAACAGCTGTTCCCCTGGTTTCTATTGGGTGGTTCTGCTTTGGGAGGCCACGGGGCCTGGCACTGGGGTGAAGGTGTCTACTGAGTCAAGCCTCTGCTGGCACAAGGAGGTTGCAGATCTAGGGAGATGGGAAGAAATGAGTACCTGCCCTGAGGACCTCACAGGTGTGCCTGGGTTCTAGGTGGGAGGGGGGCAGCGTCTCCAAGACCCAAACCCCACCCAAAGAAGGGCCTGGAGGATGAAGGATGAATGTTCCCTGAAGGGAGAATCAGAGTGACATATATGCTGTGTGAACTCTTTGGTGTAGAGAATACACTTAATACATCTTAAGATGTTTAAAAACATTTAGTGGGGGTGTGGCAGAGGAGTGGTACCCTTCCTACCACCTTTAAGGCAGAAATATTGACCACACAGTTCTCATGAAGATGATGAAAAATCCTCAGGAAATCAGAAGCGCGTGATGGAGGCTAACAAGCAGATGGGCAAAGAGCACGGGCCTGATGGCCTTGGAACGTGCCACACCTGGTGAGGTGTGGTGAGACTGTCCGTGCCTTGTGCCTCCCTCTCAGCACCTGCCGATTGATCAGGGAGGCCTTGTTTATGCCTGCAAGAGCCCACAGCAAGAAGAGGATGCAGTGAAAAGAGGAGGAGAGAGCTTCACAGTAGGCAGCAGTGAGGAACAGGAAGCCTCGGGTGGGAGTGGGGCCTGGTCATCAAGGCAGCGGTCAGCCACACACTTAGGGAACTGAGAGCTCTCATGCTCCAGAGAAGGGACGACTCCGGACAGGCACCAGAGCAATAGAAACACCTAAGAAATGTCTGCAGGGGCTTGAGAAAATTTACCTCCTTTGCGGCCATTCTCAAAGCTGACTGAGGGAGGGCTCCAGGAAAAGAGGACTAAGCGGAGAAAGACATGGAGTCCTGGAAACAGGAGAGAGCGCTGTGAAGGGGACTGCACAGGGGAACCCACAGCATCCTGTCCACACTGGGCCTGCGAGGGAGTCTGATGAGTCTGAAACTGTCAACACTTGGTTTACGCATGTGTCACAGGGTCTGGACATGAATCTGAGATAGAAAATTAAGCAAATAAAAATAGACTATTAATGTCAAACAAAAAATATTAACAAAGGAAGAGGACCAAACCATAGACCCTGTGACTCAGCTGTGAAAGATATTTACATACAAATAAGAATGTAAACACATACAAATAATGATGAATGTTGCTCTGGTAAAAATTAATTATGGAACTCTTAAGAGACTGAGCTGGGTGTGTGTATAGTATCGGAGGGCTGGGTTCCCGTTGTCCACGGTAGGAAGTCAACGAATAATGTCTAAAACTGAGAATTCAAGAGGCAACATAAGCATGTAATTTAGAAATGTGGAGGTAAATGCAGAAGAAAAAACTAAAAGTTCAGTGGTTTTCTTTGGAGATGGAGGATAGGAATGCAGTAAAGCTTTATTACGTTTAGCATATATACTACTACCATGACCTACACACACGTATAATGTTGACTTAAAAAAAAGACGAAAGTGATGAGCCCTCACAGGATGTTGGGACTCTGAGTTTTCAGAAACCAGCCTGTCCTAGCACTTCCCAAAAGTGAGTTTTGGGGAGTTCAGGTCCCCAGTGATGCAGAATGGAATACTGGTTTCCTGGTCAGATATGTTTTGAAAGATGCAGGTGGCTGGTGCATCAGAAGGTGCAGTACATGACTTATTTTTACCTTGGGACCTTTTCTTTGTTTTTATTGAGGTCAAAATAGTTTATAACATTGTGAAATTACAGTTGTGCATTATTTGTCAGTCACCATATAAATGTGTCTCTTCACCCTTTGTGTCTACCCCCACCCTCTTCCCTGGTGGTAAACCACTCAGACGTGCTCCTTGTTCAGGACCTTAACCAGCACACTTTGGGACAAGTTGCCCCAGTTCATTGAACACTTCTGTTTTTCTTGAGGAAAAACTTAGGGGTTGATTCTAGCCAGGCCAGCCTGGAGTTTCCAGCTTATATGTGGTGCACTGTCCCAGCGACCCACCACCCCACACACCCAGCTGGGGTTGCTGGCTGCTTCCTAGAACTTCACCTTTCCTTTGGCCTGAATTCTGTTCCCCATGGTTACACGTAAGGGTGTTTCCAATCAATTACTGGAGGGAGTTTGAGATGGATAGTGAGCCAGGAGCGAGAGAGCAGGGTCCTCCCTGGGAGATGCTGCTCCCGCCCTGCTTATGGGCCTGCAGCCGGGCTGGGCAGGCTTCCCCCTAAAAAATAAAACTGACGGGTCACCTTCAAGATTTGCAAGAGAGGGCCGGCCTGGGAAGAGGGGGACAAAGCGGCTGGGCTGCAAGTGGGGAGGTGGGGTGTCTCACAGATTTTGGTGACTAAGCTGTTAGTGAATGAGTTGCTCCCAGGCTGGGGACTCGTGACTGACAGGTGATAAAATACCTTGTTGGGGGGCTGGGCTCAAGGGGTTGGTCCCAGAGCCCTCCTCTTGCTCCACCTCCTCCAGACAGCCCCATCCCGCCCTCCCCCTGGGTGTGGGAAGTGCATAGCTGTTGTGGGGAGGACTGTGGACTTGATGGGGGCCAGGGCTGTGGAAGGCTTTGAGAGCAGGAGGGCCAGAGGATCAGATGTGAAAATTTGCCAGCCCCCTGGGGAGGGAGCACTGGTACGGTCTTTGGAGTCCACAGGCCCAGGCCCACAAGGCAGTGGGAGGAGCTGTGAGGGAGGGAGTCCCAGACTAGGAGGAAAGGGATCTGTTCCATTTGACACAGTGCTCAAAAGGGAAGGGGCAGTGATCAGGACACAGGCCTGAAAAACGGAAGCTCCTGGTCTACACCTTGCGAGCCCTGTCACTGGCACCTTTCATCCCAGAGCCCTGGCTGTGGTGGCCCTCATCACACCTGCTACACGCTCAGCACCATTCCAGGCACTGGGGATACAGTGGTTGCCAAAAATACTGCCTACCTTGTGGGGAACGGGGACAAAATAAGGGAAGTGCAAAGAATATTAGGAGGGGTTAATATCATGCAATACAAAATAAGCTGGAGCCGCGGCGGCGGGGGGAGGTTTAGTAAGTCGAGGGCCTCTGAGATTCTCTCTGAGGCAGGGACCATTGAGGGTTTGAACTGTGGAGAGATGCGTTCTGCCTTGGATTTTGAGGAGACCAGCCTGGAAGGGAGCGAGGGAGGAAGCAGGAGGCCGGGGACGAGGCTACTTGATAATCCAGGCAATAGTTGGCGGTGGTGCCGAGCTCAGGGAGCAGGGAAGGTGGTGAGAAGAGTTGGATTCTGGACTTATTTTGAAGGTAGAGACAATAGGAGTTACAGATTGGATCTGGGTGAGAGAGGTGGGAGTCGTGGGTGACTTCATGGTTTTGGCCTGACCAACTGCAAGGCTGGAGATGATGTTAACAAAGGACTCAGGTAGGAGCAGGATTAGTGGTTGGATTGGAATAGACTGAGCTGAGGTGTAGGCTAAACATCCAGGTGGAAATGTGGAGGAGACACCTGGATATACAGCTCTGGAGCTCAGTGGAGAGGTCCTGGCTAGATGTGCATTTTTGAATCATCAGCATAGAGCTAATACTTAAAGTCCTCAGCCTGGCTGAGGTCACGGAGGGAGGGAGGGAGTAAATAGAGATGGAGGAAAGGAAATGGACCAGGCTTTTGTTAGGGACATCTCAGTGGTATGAGGTTCAGGGACACACAGAGGAACCTGCAAAGGAGACGGAGAAGAAGCTGCCAGCAAGGAAGGAAGAGACCAAGAGAGAGTGGAGTCCTGATGCATTTCAGGGAGAAGGGAGTGGCTGCCTGAGGAGGAGGTGCTCAGGGACCCGGCATCCGGAGACCGGGGGTTGGTCACTGAGTAGGAGAAACTGGGAAGCCTAGCTACGGGAGCCTCCTTTTCAAGGAGTTTTGCTGTAATAGAAGCAGAGAAAAGGGCAGTAGTGGAGCAGGTGTGGGGGAAAGGGAGTTTATTTTTAAATAGGGAGAAATGACTGTGTGTTTTTATGCCAATGAATGAGCCAGGAGAGAGGGAGAAATAGATGATGGAGGAGAAAGGGAACAAGTCCGGAGTGGTGCCTGTGACGAGGCAAGGCGCTCAGGCACAGGCGGGTGGGTGGAAGTGGCAGTGGGAGCTTGTGGCAGTTCTCTGTTGTGTTTTCTCATGGAAATAGGAAGAAGGGTTATCAGGTGGTTGTAAGGTTGGATAAGGAGAGCTGAGGTGGAGTTACAGTGAAATGAGATTTTAGGTGGAGGCCTCTTGCTGAGACCCCTTACAAGTCCCTGCAGTGGGCCTTGGTAACAAGTTCACATGTTCCCAAGGTTTTGTAAAAAATTTGCAAGAGCAGGATACTTTAACTGCAGTTGGTTGAAACTGGTCTCTCTTTCCATTCCAAATTCCTTTCCATCACACTTCTTCCTCTGTTAGGTGGTCCTGAGGCCATGTGGGCATTTTGGGGGTTTGGCTGAGGGGAATTCAAGTTGGAGATATATTTAGTTTGGAGTTAGGATATATTTGTGTGGTTTTCAGTCACTTTGTGTGTTTAGTTGGGTTACTGATAGTCATTCTAGGGGTAGGGATGGCATCTGGGAAGACTCCTACTCACAACTCTGCCCATCGCCCGCTGTCATGACTTCAAGGTGCAAGGCCAGGATGGTTGCAATATGAACATGTCCTATAGAACCTGCCACAGGGAGTAGGCAAGTCATGGAGGGGAGACAAGACTTGAAATGTATGCAGCCAGAAGCTAGTCTGTGGAAAATTCTTCCAGTCATCACATATGTGAACTGAAAAGAGGCAGGCTTGATTCTCATCCATGCTTGCTCAAAACAGAAGTTTGCTC